ATCTGTGTCCCCTTTTCTTCTCCACAGATATCACCACAGGGAGTCCTGTGCTGCGTGAGGAATTCAGAGATAGGAAGGCCTCTCTCAGAAGCAAAGGACCCCCTCACTGCACAGGCCAAATATCCCATTTCAACCCCCTGGGGATGGTGCAGGTGCTGTCCTCTCCCCCGGCCCCAGTGAGGGGAAGCCTGTTGTTTGCCAGTTCTACAAGCAGCCCCTATGAGAACCAGGCCAGAGAGAGGCACAGCACAAGCACCAGAATGGACACACCACTGTTCAGAGCCACAGGGACCACCACCAGCCCAGCTAGGACCCCCAGAGTCTGGACCAAGGGCCCCCGTAGCTGGGGAGACAATCCACACACATATTCTGCAGGAGCTGCTAGGGCATTAGACTTCTTTTGGGTCTCAAGACTTGGACCTGAACCCTCTTCATCCTGGGAGCTCACGTGGGGCCTGGCTAGGCTGGAAGGACAGGCTTCAGACCCCAACGGACTGAGGAGGCTGGGATTTTGCCCCTGCCTAAGGACTAGAGCAGTGGACTCCTTGCTAGATATAGGATCCAAGCTGTCTGCCCACTCAGTGGTGAACTCCATGAGGGTTTCTGTCATGGCCTCCCCTGGGGAGCTGGTCACCCCAGCTATCACCCTATTAATGTGCAAAGAGTTAGTGTCCTTACCCACTCCCTTTTTTGGATCCCCAGTGAACTGGCCCTCTGTACCCAGAACCACAGGGTTGTCACATCCTGAGCCCTCTGCCCACGGAAGCCACACATCTCCCATAGTGGCTACCACAGAATGGGTCCCAGAGAGGATTTCCGGAAGCGATTCCTTGGGGGTGTCCTCTTCTGGGCCAGAAGGTATAACAGAGAGCCCCTCTTCGCCCTCCCCCTCCTCATCAGGGTCCTCCGTGTCCTTGATGAGCTCCACACCACGCCCTAGCCGGGCATAGTGCAGTGTGATCTCCTCAGCCAGGGCACTGTTCAGGGCCCGCTCAGGGCCAGGCCACTTTAAGATCAGGTCACGGTCCGTTAGTATGCCTAGGGGATGGCTGGGGGACACCATCCCATCTGTGGGGCCCTCCCCACAACCCCCCACCCCACCTGCAGCCACAGCAGCCCTCAGACGGCTCAAGTGGGACAGGTAGAGTTGCTCCAGCTCCTGGTCAATGGTGTCCTCGCCAAGCAACTCCTCCAACCCACTCATGACCTCCAGACCCCCAGGGGGCTCATCCATAATAGCCCCCACCATGGAGTCCTTTCGGCCCCCTCCATTCTCATTGGATACTTCCCATGTGGCCTCCAGCTGCTGCTGGCTGGGTTCCAGGAGAGGCCCCGCTGCCCCCTCATTCGTATCGGGCCCTGAGGCCTGGTCCCTGGGGGAACCACCTAGGCCACAGAGAGGGGAGGAGGGGAGAATCCTGATGGCCGGTGCCTGGGGAACCTCTGTGAAAGCCACAGGTAGACTGCTTCTGGGGACATCACCTTCCTCTGGGGAGATGCCAGTCACTGTAACTTCAGAAACCTAAAGCCATGGGGGGTGGGGAGGAAGGGGAGGGGATGAGAAGGGAAGAGAATGAAGTAGAGGAGGGGATGGGATAAGCAGAGACAGTGAGAACTGGCGACAGCCCATACCCAGCCCCACAGGAGTTTCCAGACAAAAACTTAAAGAGCTCTCTGTAATTCTCTAAACTCCAAAGACTATGTCATCTATATTAAAATAACAAATTTAGATGGAGTAATGGGGCAAATGTCTTCCTGTATATGATAAAGCTGAAGAGTTCAATGGGCATTAATACCTGGTGAATGACTCCATCAGTAACACCTATGGGTATATCTTCAAAATAAACCCAGGATATCCATATTAATTTATGATGTATTTTCTTCTGTTTTTTTAAAAATTATTTCCTATCTCTGTCTTTTGAAAAAGCCTTTTAAAAATGACCAATCTAGTAGCAATGAGCACCTAGTACCCAGATCTTGGTTTCTAAGTATCATTCTCCACTAAAAGGAACCAGGGCTCCTTAAACAAATAGCTGTGTATCCAGGTTTGGGCAGCCAAAGTACAAGATGAGTCTGGGATATCTTGTCATACCAAAAGGTGAGGAAGTCCTCACAAAGAGTCATGGGGACATGTCAAAAAGACTCAAGAGCCAATCTAAATAAGCTCCCACTGGCTAAAGATGGTCCAATTTAATCACCAAAAATAAGTGCAATGGATTAAAACTCATCAAATATGTTTAAAACCTATTTGTTAAAAATGACACACATAAAACAAAAATCTTCTAATTGGTCACCTTTAGAGGAGTTCATTTATTCTGGAAACTGGTAAGTAAGAGAGGGAAATGAAGTATTTTTTACTGCTTTTCCTGTACAAACTGTATCTCAAGGTGGCCAAACAGCTGATGTGAGAAATTCTTTCTTTAGAGAAGAATTCCAGTTAGTAAGTGAGAAGAGAATAACAGAATTAAAATATCACCAATTTGCAACTTCTAATGCAATAATGGACATAGGCAATAATAATTAATGGCAGCCAAAACCATTAGGTGATAAGCTAATGGAGAAATTTATAATGTTGTGATGAGGTTTACACCACCTGAAACCACTGATCAGTCTCAATATCATAAAAACCAAACCAATCCCACTGTCATCAAGTCAATACCAACGCATAGCAACCTCCATTGGGTTTCCAAAGCTGTAAATCTTTAGATAAGTCGATTGCCTCATCTTCCACCCATGGAGCAGCTGATGGGTTTTGAACCGCCAACCTTCCGATTAACAGCCAAATGCCTTCCCCACTACGCTACCAGAGCTCCTTCAACATCATAAAAAGAGACTCCCAAAATCATATGTTTCTAATATGATGAAATAGGAAGTACATAACAATTAACAACAAACCAAAAAAAAAAAAATGTGAGTCTGATCAATCCTTTAGAACTAACTACCACTTATAAGAAATATAGTGGACAGAAAAATACGATAAACATGTTTCCACAAGGATGTAATCAGCTAAATCCAAACTGTGAGAAACTCAACAGGACAAAGATTCTTCAACAAATAAATTGCAAGAAAATAAAGTGAGGAAGAGGTAAACCAACAATTATTTTTAAATCTAAAGAGACACATCAACCAAATGTCATGTGTAGATATTGTTTGGATCCTAAAACACTTATGAGATAATCAAGGAACTTTGAACACAGACCAAATATGTGATGATACTAAGGGATTATTGTTAATTTTCTGAGGTGTGATGATACTGTGGTTATGTTTTCCTAACAGTTCTTAATTTTTAGAGATACAAACTATTTATGAATGAAATGATCTCTGAGTTTATTTCAAAATAATTCCATAGGAAATGAGAGGGGAGTAGGTGGGGGTATAGACAAAGTAGAATTGGATATATGATGGTATTTATTGAAGCTGGATAATGGGTATATATTGGGTCATTATGCTCTTTTCTTTCCCTTTATGTATGCTTGAATTTTTTATAATGAAAAGTTAAAATACATACACAGACACACACACATATACAAACAGTAACGTATCTCCACTACTGGTGGAATCTGACTACTTGTCTCTACTTCCCCTGCCACCTCTGTTATCACTTGCCTGGACTACTGTGGTAGCCACCTCCTCACTTGTTTCCTCTTCTACCCTCAGTGATATTGTCTGATTCCACACAACAGCCAGAATGATCTTGTAAATTCTTAGTCAGGTCATGTTCCTCTTCTGCTCACAATTCTCCTGTGGCACCCTCCTCACTCAGAGTAAAAGCCAAAGTCTTCCCCATGGGCCACAAGGCGCTACATGGTCTGTCCCCCTACTCAGTCTGCTCCAGGCACACTGGTCTCTTCACTAATCCTCATATATAATATTCATGGCTCCACCTCAGGGCCTTTGTACTTACCTGGAATGTTCTTCCCCTACTTTTCCACACAGCTCACTCTCTCACCTTTTTCAGATCTTTGCTCAAAGCTTATCACTAAAGCCTTCCTTGGCCAACATACATACATACACACACACACACAAATACACACACACACACACTCCCTTTCCCTCATTTGTTTTTTCTTAGCACTCATCATCATCTAAAATACCATACATTTTAACTATTATTTCATTTTATTATGTCTTACTCCACTCAAGTCCCATGAAGACAGAGTTTTTATTCACTACTGTATTTCTAGTGTTCATCAGTGCTGGACACAGAGCAAGCACTCAGTAAATATTTGCTGAATGAATGAATGAAACTTCTATAACTGCATTCTACCCCTCACCCATGAGGTTCCAATTTTTGTGACCTCCTTCCAACCTAGGGTGGACCCAGGGTGAATCAGCCCCCACCACACAGCCACCCAGCTGTGGCTATACTGTAAACCTCCTATTGAGCTGTCCTTCAGAGACTGCAAGGGCCTGCTTACCTGAAGTGTCATCTGGGGCCATGGACGGAGAGGGGTGGGTGCCACCAGGGGACCCACTGACTCCTGGACATCAGGATAAACTGCTGGAGAGAAGAGATGGAAAACATTGGGGCAAGGCAGACATTAACAAGCAAGCTTGATTGGATTAAGAAAATAAGCTATTCCAGCCAAATGGCAGTTTTGCCTCTCAAGTCTTCTGTGACAATCTAAAGCAAAGGATACCTCTTAATTTTTATAGAAAGAAAAAGCAAAGGATACCTCTTAATTTTTATAGAAAGAAAAAGGGAAGGAAAAAAGAAATGATAAACATGAACTAAAAGTCCTACAGCTTGCTGACTGCTTACCCACAGCAGGGATATTATCATCCATGCTCTTCATCCTCAGTTCTTCCTCATAAGGCCTGTAGGGTAGAGAAGAGAGTGCATGGGTCTGACATCCTGAAAGGTCAGTTCTGCCACCCACTGACATCTTCTAAGCCTCTGGGGTGGGCCCCATCTTTGCCTGACAGCTGCTGTTTTCACTTCTGCTGTCTCTTTTTATCCCCTGATTATAAAAGTCCTATATACTCACCGTAGAAAATTCATAAGATACAGGAAAGTATAAAGAAGCAAGAAAAAAAAAATCACCTATCAGCCAGAGGCAATCACTGCACCATTTTGAGAAATTCCATTCCAGATATTCTATGCATTTTCCACAATCACTGAGATTCTGCACACATAGATTAATAAGGTGGCTTTGTCCACTAAACAATAGGAAACATCGTTGTACTTTTGTAAATATTTTATTTTTTAAACATTTTATAGCCATTCATTCCCTTCCTATTGAGCAATTAGGTTTTTTCCCTTTTTTTGCTATCACAAATCAAGCTTCCACAAAGATCTTTGAGTACAATTTTATCAACATTCTGGATCATTTCTTTAGGGTATGTTCCTGGCTGTGGAGAAAACCACCTTTTCCAAGAAAGGGCAGGAAGAGAAGCGTGTGGGATATGGGAAGCAGCAGAGGGAAGGAAAGCAAGCAAATGGAGCATGGCGAGTGGGTCAGCAGAAAAAGCAACTAACCTGAGGTCAGAGTCCTGGGTCCCTACCCCCACCCTCCAGTATCAGCCTGGCAAATCACTTACTCTCCCTGAGCCTCACCCTCCTCACCTGTAAAATGAAGCACAAGGGAGCCAAGAGAAACGAGGATGTAAAACCCCAAACATCAGGGCCTGGCCTGGAGCAGGGACTGAATCAACAGTTGATATTTATTGGTCTTGTTTCCTCCTTCACCAGGCAATTCAGATGCCAAGGTCTGAGTGACCTAAGCCAAGGGTATTTCAGCCAGATCCTGCCAGGGGTGGGGTCACGAGCATCATGTAGAAATCACTGCTCTTATTCTCACAACTGAATAGCAATTCTCTAAAGATTAAGGCAAATGAGGGAAGCATTAACTAAAACATATTCAGAGACCTGAGAGGAGCTGAGGCAATTGCTCAGACTCTGTTCTTCCCAAGAATCAACATGATGATGTTAACATTTTGGGAAATGGTTGAAATCTTGTGAAAACTCATAATCAATTACCTTCACAGAAACAGAACATCACTAGCAAATCATTCGATAGCACTCACTATGGTGGTCAGCACTGTTCTAAGTGTTTACGTGTATTAATCTTCACAACAATGAGATGGGTACTTTCAATCCTCTGAAGGTGGCAGTCTATTATCCCCATCTTATAGGTGATGAAACTGAGGCTGAGTAAATGTCTCAAGGTCATGCAGCCAGGATCCAAATCCAAGCCTTCTCACTCCCAAGTCCACATTCTTAACCAACTGCTACTTCCTGGAAAAGGGAGCTAGGGCCTTACCCAATCCCATCTGCAATCCTTTCTAAAAGCAGGGAGGCATCATTAATAGCATCCCTTCTACCTCTTTCATGCAGTACTTCCTTTGGACCTGCCTTTTCCCCACATATTTACCCCCACTTTCCCAGCCTTCAGGGACATGTGGCTAGGAGACCACTAGACAAGAGGTAGCTGCAAGAACAGCTTTTTATTAGTAGCCTGGGGGAGAAAGCTTGAACCATGTGCATGGACCTAGAGTTCAGAAGCACTGAAAGGGACCATCTGTCTTTGTGGACTAAAGCTCACACGTACTACCAGAGGAATCTAAATCAGAATACTACAGGGCCTGGAGTAAGGGCCTTAGAGAGCCCAGCCAACTGTTGCACTCAAGGATGAGAAAGGAGGGGTTGTTGTTGTTGTTGTCATGTGCCGTCAAGTCGGATCTGACTCATAGCGACCCCTCCTTGGGTTTCTGAGGTGTTATCACTACAGAAGAGACTGCCCAACCTCCTTTCTGAGGGGCTGGTGGGTTTGAACCGCCAGCCTTCAGGTTAGCAGTCAAGTGCCTTAGGCACTACAGGTCCTGCACTGGTCACTCAGTGGATTTAAAATCCAGGTCTTTGTATTTGTGGCTCAGCACAATTCCTACTGGGTTGTGTTTACTGATTCATTTTGCTAGTATAGTCCTTTATTACCAAAAATGTCATCTTCCTAGGATCTTCTAAATCAAGCCTCTTCAGGAAGACTCACAGACAGAAAGCCAGCCCTCCCTCCCAGGAACAGCACTAAGAAAGCCTTCCCCTGCCATGTGGCCCAGTCCTGACATGCACAACAACCAGGCCTCTAAAAGCCACCACAGAGTCATAGATTCAAGTGAAAAAGAAAAGGTAACTCAGGAAGCAGCCAGCCAACAGGAAAAGAACTCCACAATTCATCTGGAGAAAGGAGAGGAGAACAGCCAGTATCAAATAAATGCTTCCTCTCCCAGAAAATCTTTCACAGGTGAGGAGAGTGAAAGGAGGGGGACGCCCAAATATCAAGTCAAGCAATTCAGCCAATCCCAAGACCCATGAATCAGCAGAAGTAAACAGGTCACTCTCCCTTTCCCCAAAGTCAGAGAAATGAAAGCAGTAGGCACAAACATTTATTGTTCACTTCTTCCACTGTGGGCCCTTTTCACAAATACAAGTCATATGAAAACCTTCACATCTATCCTCCGGAGTAACACTCTTCCCTTTTTACAAATGTGGAATGTGAGGCTCAAGGAACCGAGTTTCCCTGTCTGCTAACTACACACCACACTGATATCCAAAGAGAGCTCCATTTTGAAAACAGAGTTTGAACTTGAGGATTAAAAAAAAAAAAAAAACACTAAATATCCCTGAATTGCCTTTCACAGTAAAAATTCTGGGACTGCTATGACTTTAATCAAAATGGAGGTGGGTAGGGGTAAGAGAAATCAAGTAAAAATGTATACTACGGACTCACTAATCAGTAACAGAGAAGAGGGGTTCTTAGAAAAAATGGGGAGAGAGGAGATTAAGAACAAAACTGAATCTAAGTGCCTGCTGATTTTCAAGAAGGAAACCTGATCTTTTGGCACCAGCCCCACAAATGCCACAAGGCATCTCCTCTAGGGCAGTGGGCAGAAGTGGGCCAAGAGAGCATGGGTTCCAGGTTAAACGGACCTGGGCACATCTTAGACACAAATCATCCTTGTCAGACAGTGATCAGGAGGGCTAGTCAAGACAGTGTGCTCATAGAAGGGTCCATCTCAGGCCTGCACACCAGTCTCCTGGGATGACAATTCCTCCCCTCATCAGGAAACTCGATGGCTGCTGATCTCAAACAGTATTACGGAAAACCAAGGGGTGGGAGGAAAGAGATGACATCAGCCCCAGCCTCAGTCAGCTGAGAGAGAACGGAAAGGTGAGTTGCCAGAGACAGAGTAAGCCAGAAAGGGAAGGCTGCCAAGCCCCATGGAGAAAAGCAAAGCAGACTTTCAGAGCAGTCACTTCACTGCCATAACCACTGCTGTCGTCCCAGGTTTCTGTTAACAACCCCCAATGCTCATGTTTTCAAAGAACTTTACCAGCCCAAGGTGGGTCATGAGCTAAAACCCAAAGGGAAACTCAGCAGACCCCAGCAACTATGTAGTCAACCTGAAGATACTGCTGATTCCCTGGGGGACAAATAGCTTCAGAGAACACTAAGAAGATACTAAGAATCCTGGTTACCCTGAGCCATTTACTTTCTGAACAGTGTTTAAAGGTGGCTGTGAAAGCAGCCGCCATCTTAACGTGGGGCATTGCGCTGCCTTCGTCCTCTGTGTCAGCTTCAAGTCTCCAATTCCCAGAAAATCCAGGGGTTGAGGGAGAATGTATTGTGCTATGAGCTTTTTTTTACTGCAGTGCCTTAATTATTTTGGTCATGCCCCACAGTAAAGAAATACGTTTTACATCACAACCCAGCACACCCATACATGTGTAAATCTATAATGGAAAAAAAAAAGGTTGTTCACAAAACAATGCTTACCTTTACTGTAAGTGACACATTGATATTTCCTGTTATTCCTTTGTAACATTTGTTGGATCCAGCAAATTGATTTCACATCTCAATAATGGGTCATGGCATGCAATTTTTAATAACCCCAGCTCCACCACCTACCAGCTGTGTAACCTGTGATGAAATACTTAACCTCTTTATGCCTCAGTTTCCTCATCTGTAAAGAGAGGATGACAGTAATACCTACCTCAAAAAGTTGAGAGGATTGATAAAATATTGGGAATCTACCTTTAACGTACTTTGCACAGAGTAGTCTCCATATTCCCACTGAAGGAAATTGAGGTTCTGAAAGGAAAGCAAACTTGCCCAGCACCGCCCAACTGGTAAAACACATCACCCAGCTTGGTGTAGCAGTTAAAAACTGAGGTGCTAGCACAGGAACACCCTGGGTCTACCACTTTCTTAGCTTGTGGCCCCACCCCATGTCCTTAACCATGATGCCCTTCCAGTTTTCTGAAGAATAAAGGAGGGTAACTTTCACACTAAGCTCTCATTCTCCTGACAACTAAGATAATCTCTAAATCATCCTGTTTCAACTTTGGTTATTCTGTTTCCAGCTTGGATATCAAATTGGATCCCATCCATTCACTTCTAGGTGCACCTAAAAAACATTGAGGCCTTACTGTGCATCAGCTCCAGTGCCTGGCCCTGGAGACACAATGGTGAGCACATCCAACTATGAAGCTTACGATTCAGTATGAAGGAAGACATTAAAAAAAAAAAACTCACACTCATTCTTTCAACAAACATTTATTGAGCACGTGCTAAGTGCCAGGCACTGTGGCAGGCCCTGCGGGAATACAGTGGTGAATAAAAGGCTATGTCCCTACCCCTCATGGAGCTTACAGTCTAGCAGGGCAGTGAGATACCCATCCAATAATCCCCTAATGAAGGTCTAACTACAGTCAGTGCCCTTCGGAAAAGGAAAGAATGCCCTGTAACAGAGGGCCTTGGCCCAAATTGCAAGGTCAGGGAAGGCTTAAGGATGCATAGAAGGAAAA